AATTTTTTTTTTTTTTTTTTTTTTTTCTTTTTCACGCGCGGACGTTAAAGTCAGGCGTCAGTTAACCGACGAGCCAGCGTGCGAAGAAGACTAATGGAACTTTAATAACGAGGATCCCGAGATTTCTTTCACAGAGAAAATCCATCGTTCTCGATCGACGATACTTTTTTCCCTTTCTTTCCCTCTTTCTTAATGAAAAAAAAAAAAAAGAAAAAAAGAAAGTTCGACTTAACGAGCGCGTCAAACACGGGAATAATATCAAGCAGCTTGCACTCGGACTCGCACTTTTCTGGGTCACGGTTCCTTGATCGCTGTTGCGTTACAAACGGAGAAACATTACGTCGGGGGGAACTTTCGACAAAATATCCCCTTCCAATATTCTGAGCAAACTGTTTCACACTTTCCGCACAACTGTCACCATCCGCCGAGCCATGAATTATATTCTTCGACCAGAAACTGCGAAACTTCTCCCATGCATTCTCGTTGATTAACTTTTAACGATGTACAGGTGGCGATGTACCTGCGGGTACGTCACTTGAACAAAATAATCCGCAAGAACCTCCTCAGAAAGTCAGTCGTTGGTCGTAACATTCCGAAGCGTTTAACTTGCGCTTGAATTTCGTAAAGATCATCGTTTCTCGACGGGTGGAAAAACTGCTTGCGTTAACGAGGCTAGTTAAAAATGCATTAGCAGATACGGTCGTTGCCGGGACGGGCGGAGGGAATAAAAAATTTACAAAACGTAACAGCACACGTTGCTCAAAAGCAATATCAAAGTCGTGAGAAAATGAGAGAGGAACTTAGAGAGTAAATTTGTTTCCTATCTAGCACTTCACTAAGATACTGTTGATTCTCTATCGCTTATACTATTATACTTCTTTCTTTACTTCGAAACTTTCGGTTTCATTCGACACGACTACGCGGTGAAGATCGTAACGGTGTTTCTATCACATTTCGTTTCCAGTTACATTTCGGAAGGAACTTCTCTGTCGAGAAGAGAGACGCGTAGACGAAGTATTTTGAAAACTGCGAGAATGGTACGCAACCGGCGGTGGATGCGGCACGACTGTGCTGATCGCAGAAACAGAGTCGAAGAAATATCGCCGCTCGAGTTTACCTGAAACAGGGATGCTAGACTGTTTTCGTAGAAGGGGTGCAAGAGGCATCTAGCACCCTTCGTGGAATTCCGCGGACTTCTATCGATCTGTTCCCTCGGCCGCTAAAATCGGGGCACGATTGTACCTTCACACAGTAATTCTCTCCAACAATTTTTTTTTTTTTCAAAATCAAAAGGAAAATCGCTAAAATTTTGCAAGAACAAAAAATCGTACGAATTTCTGCTATTATTTCATTATTTATCAGAATTATTTCACTCGACGATGATACGAAAATTGAATACCGCCAAAATTTCTACCATTTTTACCTAAATGCAACGCGCAATTAGTCCCTTGCTAATCGTTACTGAACTTTTACAATGATACATTTTTCATTCACTTAGCCAAGAATTTGTTCTGAATTCGTTTGTTGCTTAGTGTTAAGTTTGGATACTGATGTTGCAACAATCGATAAGTAATGCGTGACACAACCGAGATGTTTAAAATAACTTAAAATTTTTCACTATTTGTGACAAGTTGACTCACTTGAAAAACAAGAAAACATCACATTGTTATTTTTTAAATGACTGATAATCGACTTGAAAATAATACACACTTCTCCGCGGAAATAACACCAATTTTTATTGTAATTATTATTTACGATGTAAATATGCGACTATTATTAGATTCAAAGGAGAATTGCAAAACTTTATCCGCATATTGGAATTTTATGGCAACTCACCAGAGACGCCTACAGAGTTTCGCAGCAACGATCGATTAGTTGTTAAACGTGCCTAAAATAGTTTGGTTAATTAAGCAGGGTCTAGTCTCCAAGCGACGTGTCACGAACGCCAATTAAGCAACGTGTAAGAAGTTACTTAAAATACATCTCCGTTGTACGAACGAACAGAGTCAACTTTAGTTGCTTCGTCTCTCAATTAGAAAAATTATTCGTAGAACAAAACTGAATGAAACGAAATGAAGTGAAGATACGAGTATAACGTGACAAGTAAATCATAAATCTTTCACAAGAATTTGCTTTTATAATTTATTAATTTTAATTTAATTTATTGGTTATGATTATTATACAATATTATAATATTAGTCGTAATTTCTATTTCACATGGTATAATATAATATTGCCTGTAAGCAGTGATTATTCGCAGAGAAGAAGCTTGATAACATACGTATAGTAATATGCTAAAAATTTACAAGATCCTCTGAGAATTTAATGGGACCTTCCACTAACTTTGTCTATAATCGCTTGAGTTAGATATCTTCCAGCAAGATCCTTGGCTATATTGGACAACTGATCTCCGAAACTAGGCTTTCTAGTAGTAGGCCCAGGAGGATAATATCCTTGCTGATATCCTTGTTGATATCCCTGTGGATATCCCTGTGGATATCCCTGTGGGTAACCCTGAGAGTATCCAGGATAGTAGTTACCATATGGGTTCGACTGACCAGAATACCCAGATTGCGAAGGATACCCAGAATTCTGAGATGGATAGTTGCTTCGTGTGGCCTGACCCTGGCTAGGATATCCAGAATTCTGAGACGGGTAATTGCTTCTGGTAGCCTGACCCTGGCTAGGATATCCAGGATAAGCGGCGTTCACCGAGCTGGCGACTCTCTTTACGCTCTCCTCGTTCGTCGTCGAGCTACTGGGATAACCACCAGAGCTCGAAGGATACGAGCCACTAGGATAACCGCTTGATCCTGACGGATAACCGGAACTGCGCGACGGGTAACCAGATCCAGTTGGATATCCCGAGGAACTTCTCGCTGGGTATCCAGATTCTGAAGGATATCCAGAGCCTGACGGATAACCAGAACTGCTTCTCGATGGGTAACCGGGATAAGACGAGCTTCCAGACTCCGACGGATAACCCGAACTTCTGGAAGGATAGCCAGAACTAGCAGGATAACCCGACGAACCACTGGATGGATAACCAGAGTTCGACGGATAACCCGACGACCTGCTCGGGCTTTCTGGTTTCGGTTGGCTCTCCGAGGACGGGTAGGAGCTCTTGGAGGAATCGGAGCTTGGGTATCCGCTTCCAGATGGATATCCCGATTGCGATCTCTTCGTCGACTGAACGTCGGGCGCGGATGAGTCCACTTCGCTGGTGCTTTCTCGTCTTCTCACGACTCTGTTGTCATCGGTATCGACCTCTGCGAACAATTCGTTATCTACCTCCTAATTGTTTAGAATTATTCTGTGCCGTCTTATGCCCCCATGCCATGCCGAGTCTAACTCAATTGTTATCAGAGCTTCCGTGTTGCTCTCAAGCAGCAGCAAGTGAGCATTTGCTGCCAATTGTTCGAGCCAGCTGTACTGTCTCCATTAGTATGTTATTAAGCTTAACGGTACGATGTAAATGTATCTTTGATGTCCTGTGTGATTGTTACTCGATTGTGACTGAATTATTATACATCACGTCTCGATCATTCGTTTCCTGGTGGTAACACTTTGAAAGCTGGGCTATGCAACGGAGTGATTCGATCATGCAATTTTCGTACATTTCGTTCTTCTGTTTGTTAAAGCTGTTAAAAGTATCGACTGCAGTATATGTTGCGGTGAATGATTTATGTAGATGTTTCGATTCTCTGAATGCAATTGTCGTTTGTATGCTCGTTTTATTAACAACTGTTTGCTTCAACGTATCGACTTGGAAGGTAATCATAGAATCGCTGAAATTAGGAACGCCCCGTAGTGCTGAAGGATTACATATATTTATTACATCTGTTCGTTACAATGGACAAATATTTCAAATGCTTAGTAAGTACTGTTCTTAATAAGTACATCTATTACATAAGTCGCGCAACCGTAGCATGGCACTGTAATGAAAGAAACCACAGTTTATTCGCGATAAGAATGTTTGTAAAACAGTAAATGACCAGTAGAATCAAACCAGTTCATCACTGTCATTTATTTGCGTCGTCAAATAAAAGATCAAGCACGACAAGGAATCCACTTGGACTTCAAAAACAAGTGACTTCTCTGTCTTTCTGATGAATCTAGACGTTCTTCTCGCGAGATAACTGCAGTTTCTGGCACAGAAGACAAAGTGTGACCCAAGGTTTAAACCTAAACGTAACGGTAAGTAACTTAGTAAGAGTAATTGACAATCAGGCCCATTTAGCCGGAAAATCTCCAAATTCGATTTCCCTGATCATCGACAGAGGTGTGGGTATCGTAATAGCCACTAGCACTTTGGCGAGCGCGACTCCTAGGTGTAGTCGCACCGTAACGATCATTGCCAAACAAACGGCTAAAGATAGAACCATTTCCGATGGTGTTTCTGGATCCCGAATTACCACTGACTCTTCCACCGTATCCGTTGGAAGAAGACCTCGGTGGAGGCGTGGGTGGGGTTGGTCTAATCTTTCCCGCCGTCCGTGTTGGATACGCTGTCAGAGATTGAAGAGTGGTAGTCAAAAATTGATATCGTATCTTAAGTGCCAACTAAATTTGACGAAGATCATATATATATTTATACTAGATTGTTAGTTAATATTAAGAAGAATTGTTATATATACATGCCAATGTTAAGATAAAGTTATCTCTCTTTGAGCATGCATCTCGAGATTGTTAATTTGTACTTCCACTCTTCAATTTTGGGGAACAAATCGATCTCTCGACGAGCAAACAGCGACCAGAAGAATCGTTGCTTGCACAAATCGTCGTTTCTTGCTTCGAGCCGACTTTTGATTAAAAATTAAAAAAAAGAAAAAAAAAAAAAAGAAACGTTCGCTGCAACTCTGCAGTAATTTTATCGAAGCGAACTTAATTTCTGTCGAACGAGAGCGTAACGTGGGAAAAAGAGTCGTGCAAAAGTACCGGGGGAGGAGGATGGGGGAATGGGGGTGGGAGGGACGCTGATAAAAGTAAAATGACTAAGAACTGCGACCTACAATACTTCTACGTCGCCTCGCTGAGGCAGATAAGAGATGTCAGGGTTCGACGCGATAACGAGATCAGTCGGCGTTCGCTACATCTTCGAGAAATTAATTCTAAAGGAGTGTTCCGCAGGCGACTGCGACTTAATGTAATGAAAACAGATGACAGGTAGTAAATCCATGGATTTTGTAGAAATCGTATTGTTTCTTTATTACGAGTCGATAATTCGCACAATGGTGGCGATTGTTTCGTACGCACGTTGACGTAGAAACAATTCCTGTACGTATTATAAATATACATCTATATAGACAGACACTTTACTTCATCTGAACGTTTGAGTCCAACGCTAGGAAAAATTACTCTTTGGACGGCAAAAATATCTGGTTTGTAACTGCGTGGAAATAAAATACGAAACATTCGCGTAACGATGCATTGTTCGTTTAAAGGGAAGCTGATCATTTTTGTCGATCACTCGCGCAATGTCAGGTACCAAGTTAACGAACTTGTCTCGCGGTTAGCATAGTTGAAAAATTGGTCAACTTAGGTGCTTGTAAATGACGATATCGTTTCTTCATTTAATTCGTTGGAAGCATGCATTTTGTCAATTTGCAAAATTCTCAAAAAAGAAAGACATATCGCCGTCAAATTCTGAAGTACGTGTAAAGAATGTACATCGAATGGAAGAGCTTCCACCTCGAACAGCCGCGATTTTAATCAGCGAAATGCGTTTTTCAGCGTTTGTTCGACATGCTTAAAAATCTTATTTTCTACGGAAAATGTAATTATACTTTCTGCTTTTCCGTTAATTATAACCACGTTAATTACAAAACAACCAACACTGTGCTAAAAGACACGTTTGGAAGGCACGCAATGGCGAGATTATCGTACGATAATTATAGTAATTTGAAGAATGGACGTTTGTGAAGGTAGAAAAGAAAGATAATATTTCAAAAGAGAATATAAAAAAATAACAAAGCGCATACGTGTACATCTCTTTCAAAAAACATTAATATTCTTTCAAAAGAACCGATAGAACGTAACTTTTCAAAATTAATTTATCATTTATAATTTATCAAGAGAGACGGAGAGAGAGGTAGAGAAAAAGTGAAAGAGCATATGTTAAACCAATCAACTTCAAGGCAAAAATTCCCTTGAAAATTATCTTTACACTGAACCACTGCTCTGTTAGCTGTGTTAATTTCCCATTTGCGCCAAAATTTTTCCTACGGCTACTGGAAGAAAGTAGTTGAGGGTAACTTTCACAATTTCTCTTTCCACAAGTACATATATAAATATATACAATTTCACTAAGATTTCTACATCTGTCGGTATATCGATCGGACGAACAAACGTTTGCCGTCCAACATTCATCTATCGTCGCCTCGTCGTCGTCGAACGAGGTATTAACAGACACTTTGAATCCAATGTACACGTAATCATAACGATCTGTTCTTAAACGCGACCGCGAGACTCGCTACGACAACGATTAAAAACGGTGACTGAGCGACGGCGTTGTTCCTCCGATAGCCAGAGTAAACGTTATTGTGATACATGCGATTCTGATTGGGATAATTCGCGTAAGGATAATTCTGGTAGCCGGGATGTTGTTGAGGATATCCCGGAGGTGGGGCTGGATAACCAGGCTGCTGCCCCGAGTAGGGATAGCTCGGTTGGCCACCAGGTTGTCCAGGATACGGAGGATAGTTGGCTTGCCCGGGCATTGGCATTCTGTTGTGCGTTGGATACGGTGGATATCCCAGGTCCTGTTGTCGATTTCCTTGATTCGTCGAAGGATAAGGCGGGTACCCGCTGTTCGAGTTTACCGCACCTCTGTTAGAACCACTGTTACTAGGATACGCTGGATAGCCCAAATTGCCGCCGGAATTCACTTGATGATATCCACCGGCCGGCTCAACAGGAGCTGGCGGCGCATTAGCATTCGCGTAAGGATTCGAATTACTAGCGCTGTTGCTGCTTTTATCGCGGCTCTCGCCGGCGTTGATTGGCTGCCCATTTACGGAAGAAACGCCCGCTGACTCGTACCCTGAAACGATCGTCCTCTTCTACGTCGTATTTCTACATCTCTGTGACACGATCCCTCGATCGTGATCGAGGGGTTTCAAACAGGGTGGACAGAAAATCAGAAAGAAAGAAAGGAAGAAACGAATACCGTCAAAACATGATAGGGGTGTCAGAGCAACAACCAATGGGGACACTCTGGTTACGACTACGTGTACGCATTCCGTTTGAAAAAAAATAAAACTTTCCGCTAGGGAAATTGGGAGATTTTTTTAGTGAGACTAGTTTAAATGGAGTTAGTCGAACGAACGTGCTACGCGTGGTATAGACAATTCTGGAGATCGTGCTGTTACGTATGCAAAAAATGTAATTTTCGGAAAGCGTTAAAAAAGAGCCATGCTGCAAGCTGTCCTGCGTCGAATATGTCGTAGGAACAGTTGGAAATACGTGTGAAACGCGTCCTCGTAAATGATCCAATTTGTAATATCCCCTTCATCAAATAATCCGATTTGTAATCTTCGTGCAGGTAGCGAAACGGTAAGCGCAATTATGCAATTAATAGTTTCGGATATTATCGCGTTTCTCCAGGAGCGAGAGAGCTTCGACGCAGCGGAGCATTAAAGCACACGTTCGAAGTCAATTTCGCTCGCAAATGGAACGATACAGTTTATTCTTCCATATCTACGGGGACGTTAAAAGTTTCAGTACGTTCGAGAACAATTTCTTCAAAATCCTATAACGCCAGGTGAGTGTGTACGCGCGTCTACAGGTCTGTGTGCGGGAAGAGACGATAATGGAAAGGTCGTGTACGAAAAAGTTAAGAAGAGAGAAAAAAAAGTGGTCTTGTCGTGCAGGTTTCTGGGGTTCACGTGACTGTACGTTACACTCGTCATTTTACATCAGATCGAAAAATTATAGAGATTCTATCACCTTTTTCCTTAGAGGTGTCATTTAATTATGGAGTGTCGACGATTTGATGACGAAAAAAAATTATTTTATCGTGCTGTTGCATTTAATTTATTTCAAAAATTTATTTCATTGTGCTGCAAATAATATTACAATGCTCCATAGTTCAAAAATAGATATATCACGCTTTGCAGTATAAAATCCTTTTAGCGTCAAAAAATACATATATATATATGTCAATTCAATAAGTTTGAAACACGACGATTCATATGAAACGTCACGTATGATACCAAAAAGACCGGAAGTTTTAATGAATCAAATACGCGTCACTCTGAAATTTCCACTCGAAACGATTCACGTATATGTATCTACGTTCACATTAATAAAGAACGTATTACGCATAAATCAGGTTCAACCCTATCTGTACGTACGGAATCCCAGTGAAAAATTGAATGACAAATTATATTCGAAACCATCAAACGTATTAAACTCGACGGGATGTTTCCGTCAATTAATGAATTGCAAAAAAGAAACAACTCCATCGAGGAGGTATTTTTACAGAAGTGCGGAAAGTATAAACAGCAGGACAGAGAGTTGGCTGTTATGAAGCTTTATTTCTACGCAGAGAGGATTACAACATGGCTAAAAGCTCCGTTAGCAAATAACCGATGAATATTTATTTTACAATACTTGTAATGGTTTCATGCCGTGAATAAAATTTTTCCTTTCAATTAATATCTTTCCATATTGGCAACTCATTAAAATCACGCGCTACAATTTTAGCCATTTTCGTAGCCCTCTCCCGCACGTGTGATTCAATTTCACGCATTTTGTTTGCTGTGGCCCTGGCATGCGTTTAAGTTTTCATGCTAGTCCGCCAGCGTGCATGCATAATCAATCATATAATACATAGCATATGACGAGTAAAAGATGGGATTAAACTCACCAATTGCCGTTGATTTCTTCACGCATGTCGGCGCGCCATTTTCAGTTTTGCAGTATTCATTTTCACCGCAAACAGTACTTTCGCAACTAGCCCCTGCATACAAAACAGACGAAGTATTTATATTGAATTCCTCCCGCGTTTTCAATTCATGCTTGATTGATGATATTAGATATAAAAAAAAAAAAACAACGATCCAAACGATAGATATTATTTCTCTCAAAAGAAACAAATAAACATTTCGAATTCGTCAAGTATATTCATTGTTATTTCAAAGACGATAATATCGCGAACGAGACTAACTACGTAGTTATGTACAATATGAAATTGACAACACTATTTCGTAATAATTACTCGTCGTTGAACACAATTAACCGCTTTAATAATAATTCACTTCGAATTCACTGAAACTATATTAAAGTATTATAAATTGTAAAACAAGCAATTTTGCGCGCCGTTGGTAGGTAAGTAACTTACGCACAATAGATTAAAATTTAATGAGCTCGTAATTGATTGAAGAGTAATGGAGCTATCGGTAATTTATGCATCGTAACGGGACGAAACGTTGCACACACATTCTAATTCAAGACATAATAGGCTACAATTGATTAATAACACATTTCAAACACGTTCCGATGTATTAATATCGCGCTAATACGGTATAACATTCTAAATTCCGTGCAGTCGCGTAATAATTCGACGTAATTGCACAGTTCCATCAATTGATACGGATATGTAGCATCAATAGGGGGATATTATATTTCGTCGCAGAGGCAAAAATCTCATTAAAATGAAATTTGTTTGGCAAGCTTTAATCGCAAATTAAAATCATTGATAAATTCAATTTAGATAAAGTTAACCAGAAGTCATCATCAGCCAGGATTCACGCTCGCGCGCGTGAAAGAGGAAACTTGTTCTCTCTTTCCGCTTTCCATGTCCTGCGTATCCCTCATCGGGACAAGGACAGGGGAATTATATTTATGGAAAGGTCAACAGCATTCTTACCGCCTGGATGAGCTTTTGCACAAGTCGGATAACGACCACAGTTATCTCGTTGGTAGATTGAACAGGGATCCTCGGCCATCACGCAGACTTCGTCCCTTCTGCAGCCGATGTCCTTGCATGTTCTTCCATACTCTGCGAACCCAGGGAGTAACCCCCCACCTCTTCGTGAGTTTTCGTTTAGTGGCGAAAGTTTCGAGTAATATGCCATGATCCCGCGATTGGATATGGCTCATTAAAAGTTCGCTTTAAGCAAGGCGCGTGTCATAAACGGAATTTATAGTAGTACCGAGACACTCTGATACTTCTCTGACCAAATGGCTTATTCGAAAGCTTTAATTTCCACTCGCGCGACGAGTCTACGCGCAAACGACGTGTGACCGCGCCAAGAAATAACACTGTGTTAACATTATATTTTTATATCGGGCTAAACTACTAAAGCATACATCCGGAACTTTCCGATGTTATCAACGTGATTTCAAAAATACATTCACGAAGTTTCAAAACTTGATCTTTGTCCGTATAATCGATACACTATATCGGTGCGACCCATGAAACAGCGAAACTTCAATATCCATAACGTAACAAGCATAATTATGTAACTACAAAATATTTGTTACAGACAGACTCTATCTCGATTGAAACTGAGCAAAGTGCTACTCTTCAGATTGTTTTGCACTGATACCCTGCTAGTGACGTTGATGTAGTTGCAAGTAATTATGCCTCGCACAGATAACTGTTAAAACTTGCTTTAAGAACACACTACGCTTATACCCCGGCCATGTAGCGTAGAACTATTAAAGGGAGTAAGTATATTTACATGTAAGTGACTTTAACTCAATATCTCTCGTCCTACGCCAGGTTCCACTAAAACTTCGGGCCGAAACTAAGCAAGCTGAGTAGCTGAACCTGCTGTTTAGTAAGTAAAGTTGATAAATAACCAAATATCTATATTCACAGATATCGATCGCAATTGATAATTACATATGCATTTGCGTTATTGGATGTTATTTGCAATTTCGTTGTGTTTACAATACGAATCGAAATTATCTGTTTAACTAGATTGCCGAATTTTAGCAAATAAATGCCGATCAACTCTTAAAAATTTGTCTATAAAATTTGCCTTTTGTCGGTGGATGATCCAAAACTCCAGCTACATACATATATAACAAGTAGATCGAAACGTAAGGAAAATTTCAAATTCTCTGTACTACTCACGAGGGCAAAGGCACCGTTTTCGATTTGACTTCTAAGTAGGCAGGGAGAAGAAAAACTGGCGTTTCCGTATATTTGGTAAATACAGAAATAGAGGGAAAGTTTCTTGCAACGAAAATATAACTTCCAGCGCACATTTACCTGACGTTATCCAATCCAAACCCTCCCGCATTGGCGTAACGCTGCTAATCGTAATTCTATTCAAGCACCACAGCGTCATCCCCATATAACCCCATCGATTCTCAATTATCCAGCAGCGAGGGAAAGAGGAAGCCGGAAAGAGGAAGGAATGGAAAAGGAGAAGAGAGGGAAAGCGAGGCAGCTGCCGAGTTAACGCCCAGTTTCGTGTTATCCAGCTTTGCCTACGTGTTGCGAAGAAGTGGGATAAAAGGGTGCGCTGTTCGAAAACGAATATTGAAACTAGGCTAATGATTTCTCCCTCTAATTGTCCTTAAACGTTTATCATATCCGAGAATAAACGGAAGGACGAAAGAATCGTGAAAACAATGGGGGCTATTATTGCACACGATGTGAAATGATTCTCAAATTCTCTCAAGCAATATGCGTGGTCTTATGTGATAATACGAACAACTGTTATCACGGGAAGAATCGATAATGAACCGATAATACAGCTGGCAAAATGATTCCCAAGCGATGCACGGTGTTACGTGATAACAGTGCGAGCAATTGCAATTATGAAAAGAGATACATACGTCGAAAGAGACGAATACAACAATCCAACCATCGATTCGGTCAAACGCATTGAAACCCTGATAAAATAATGACGTTTACAAGATATTTTTGACGTGTAATATTAATTGAAGCTCAATAAAAAATAACGTTTTAATCTCAATATTTTTTTAAGTCATTTGAAAAAATTTCTACGAATTTTTACATTTCATTTAACTAACATTTTTGTAGAAAAATTAAGAGACAAGCTCTAGAAGAATTTAAGAATCGCTCCAACCAAGTACGTCCTACGAAAAATTAAGTTTTTTAACTTTGAGAGACAAAGTTTTTCCACTTTTGAAAGTTGACTGCGTATAAACTTTAGATTCTAAACTACTTGATTGAAGAGACTGTTGATTTAGCGACAACAATTAACGAGAATCTGGGAAAAGATGTTTGTTTGTGGCTTCTAATAAGCGTTGCTTGATTACGTAAAGTCTCAAATAGAAGATCATTCCTATAAACAAGAGTTGTGAAATATTTCCGAAACGCACGTCTCCTTGAAAAATCCAACTTAATTCAATCTGGAGAAGTTTGAGGATAAAACAGAAATAGAACAAAATATAAGGAGTTTTTAAACGATTATAAATAATGAAGCCTAGGATCGAATACAGTTCCCATTAAATCTCTTAGTTCCTGTCGCGGTTTCCTCTCCTTTATTTAACAAGATTAGGAAGCGGAAAAGGACAAAGTCGACTATTACGACGAAGGTCGATGCAATTACATTAGTCGAGTTAGAGATTAAAAACGATCATTTGTTTCCATTAAGTCCACTTAATCCCGATCAAGCGAAACGATTGGCCATAGCAATTGAATTGCAACACCACGATTTAAGCTGGCTTATAATACTACGATTATTAATTAGCAATTCAAACAGATATTGCAGAAATTATAAAATTACATCTTAATTAAAGTGCTATTAATGAAAAATATCAGTGTGTCTTAACCATTCGTTTAAAAGATCTTAACTAAAAGGAGAAGTTTATTCAGATGATCTGCTTCAGAGTATTAAATTTTTACTTACTGGTGTAGGAAGCTGCATCGGGAATCGAAGAAATAAGTAAGATTGTCCCCAATAGGGCACCCAGTGTAGAACTGGACAACATTTTCTAGAATGAAAAATATTTTTCTCTTTACAATCTAATTTTATATATAGATGTCATTAATATTGTAACACCATGTCGCTTTGAGTGCTAAAATATTGATTTAATAACAACATGCATTGATTTAAAAATAACGTATATAAAAAAAGTCATAGGAATTCTGCAACCATGCTGGGCAATATTTTATAGAGTTTAATGTCGAAAATGTCAAAAGTTATGCATCTTTTAATGATTCCATTATAATTTTAATTGAAGTAATGAAAAACAAACCACGATCATATCAAATTAACATCAATGTTAATTTTAATTTGAATCGCAGAAATGAACAACTAGAGTTCAAATTTAAGCAGAAATTACATTCATAAATAACCTGTCAAGCAAGTGTCTTTTTCCTCGTCTGTCCTTGTCTTGCACTTCTAACCTCACTCGTCATACAGAAATACCTAACCTCAACTCCGAACTGAATTTCACAACAAGTGACGCGTGTATTTCTCAGTTACGTATAAAAATCGAACTAGATTACTATCAATCTAGATACTCGACACTCAGAAACATTGGTGGCATTGAATTTTGTGATCTTACAATCGAGTGACCTTGACAAATCACGGAGAAATCGCAATTGCGTCGTTCGTTTCAACGCTATGTGCCGCTTTACACTGTTACTTACCTGTCACGCACAGGAAATCAGACCGCGAATTTTCAAACAAACAGCAATATAACAACGCGATATATTAACAAACGATGCAAACTTACCATGAAAAATCTCACTTGCCCTTATACGCACAAACGTCCACTCCAACACGTAGCCAGTATAACACTGAACATTCAGTGAATTGCTGTGTCGTTACTGACTTGACGTTGGCGTCAGTCGAACAAAGATGGACGGCGAAGTTGCACGCGAGAGACAAGAAGGTAGTGAGACTCCGAAAAGAAGACCGAAAAGGAGACCGATATAGCGTCAACGTGACATAAAAAGGAGTAGAATACTATGTTCAGTGTAAATAGCCGCTTCAATGATCGTAAGAAAGAAAAGGAAAGCTTCGTTTCACTTTCGAGAATACATTCCAAACGTCACACACACGGTGAGTTGTACAAACATTGATGTGTCTATTAAATACGAACGCTCTTTCGAGATATTCGTTTAAAATCTATTGAATTTAATACGCAAATTTTACGCAAGTTTACTGATAAAGCATGCAGTTTGTACGAAATTCCAAATAATAAAAATACACCTTGGTAACAATGTTTTCGAAGTTTTACCAGCAGTTGAAAATAAGTTTCATTAGTTTTAAAAATCGAACAAGGGAACGTATCGATAGCAAATTCGAGGTAACGGTTGAATCATAGGAGTCGACATTGCAATTTCATGACGTCACTGTTCGTTGAAAACAGAATCTTTTTTAATTTAAACTATGAACAAGGGAAATATTCTTACTTCATGTTTCTTTTTAAACATTCTCGTTTTTATGTCATTTATAATTCTATCATTTCTTAATTTTTGCTTAAAGCTCTTCTTCAGTGGAGATCTTGTTATATAACCTATCTTACACACTATGTACGTAAATATTACATATACAATTATAGCTTTTGTAGAAAAATTTCCGCAATGACACATTTCTATGACAATTTAATTCCCGTTTTACTCTGCGTATTGCAACATAAGTTGAAGTTCCCATTCCATAATACGCAATACACGAATGCAATACAGAAAAAAATCTTAAAAATTATCTTATCGCAGTTAGTACTGAACAAGATCAAAGTCTTGTTGTAATATCTATTAATTCATTCTCCTATGTATCAAACATACAAATTTACGATTCTATAGGTTAATATGAATATAAATTTATATTAAGCACGTTGTAAATAATTTTAAGGTCCATGTTACACTCCCTTATTTATTTTTCTTTCGTGACGTCATATAATTACCTACAAAGGAAAACTTATAGTCTAAAATTCGCTAACATCTCGTGTGTTGAAATTTGTTCCTCTCAAGGGATAATCTTCGAGTATTTCCGTTATACTTTCGTTATTTTTCATACCTTATATTCTCCAAGAAACAAGATGTTAAATTAAAGACTGTTGTAATAATTTATCATCACTGTCACTCAATATCTTGTATGCATTGTTTTAATAATTTTCTCGTGCCCTTCTACTAATATTATCTTTTATAATTACACCGTTGAATTTCTTAGCGATGAAGTTGGGCTCGAGAAGCGTAATTAAAAGACTTGTTAAACGAACGATTACCAACAACCATTAAAGTTACTAAAATCAAATATGCATAACTTAATCGTCAAACTTAGTAGAACCAAATGTACATAACTTAAAACGTGAGAATTTCACTTTCTACGCAATTACATTGTTTTTTCTTTTCCTTGTTTTGCAATTTCTTTCTTCCGACCAAGACTTGAAAATTCCGAAAGGATTCCCCGTGATCGATAATATCTTTCACGTTCCCATTACATCTTCAATTTGGCAACAATCTAAGAAAATAGTAGAATTAGATAGAACATTGTTTGATCGATCCTTGGATCGTGCAACTACTCGACGTATTTCGTGAAAAACGATTCACGTCAAGCTTTCATACGACTGCCCGCTGCATTTCCAAACTCGCCTCCAAACAGCTTCCGTAGTCACGTTTGCCGAGAAATCCCATCGACAAGGAGTTTCGTCAAACTCTCACGTGTCGGAACGTTTCATCCTTGCAGTGGAGACCACTGCGTTCGTCCGAGCTTTTCGTGCTTTCAATGGCAGGATGTTCGATCTGGAGACTGCGCAAAGGTGCTCGCTACTAGGGGATAGAAACCTTGGATGGTGGGAATCCGGGGGAACTTTCATAGAAACCCTTTTCCAGGATGAACGCTTCGGTGGTGGGTTACTCTCACAGTCACGCGCACTGAGGTCGTTTCCCTTTCCTCTCTCCGTCCACATGTACAACCTCACGCATGCTACTAAAATACATTCTCCTCTATCTTTTTTCATTGTTTCCTTTCAATTCTACGTTTACTCGCTGCACACGCTGCGCCGCACACGCTTTCTACCCTTCCATCCAATAGATTTCATATCACGAATCCCGCTACGTATCATCTTTTATACTCATCTGCATGAAAACCACGAGATCTCGTATTTTTTTCATTCGTCAATCCCTTCTGAGGAATTACAAGTAGCATTCACAGTCTCTCGTTTTATCTTTTCCAGACCCGAATTCTATCTACAGTCGATAATTTTTTTTATCTTACATGTTCAGCCTTGTTTTCAACCTCACGAACTTATATACTATTATTGATCTATCTCTCGTTTCTCGTATTTGACACGTTTTATTTTCTATTCTTTCATTAGTCCTTTTCTCGTCAAATCTCTTACAAAGGACTCTCGCACGTACATGTCGTTTTTCTTTCTTTCTTTTTTTTTTTTTTTTCGTCGATAAAATCTACCGTTAACTCTTTCTGATTACACAGTATTTTACCTCACGTTCTCGTTCTATCAGCCGCGTAGTCACCGCCGTTAAATTGCACGGTCGTCTTTCGCCTAACGAAAGCAGCAAAGCGAAGTCCAAAGCTACCTTTATCCTTTGTACTTGTTCCTCGGAGATTTCGGTGCGTTTCTCCCGCGTGTATGCGCGCGCGTCGCGCCGCGCTTTCGAGAGGGTGCTGCGCGGTCGACGGGCGTCGTCCGGTAGTCGAATTCGTCGCTTCCCCGAGGCAGGTGGGCTTGTTCTATCCGGTGACGAACCAACGCTCTTTCCTCCTCGGTGATCCTCGAAAATCTCCTAGGAGAACTGACCGACCCGAGGAGTGGGGACAGTGCACCCCCTCCGGTTTTCTTCTCGGACAGGCAATTCAGTGTTGCTTCGCGGTACACGAGTTTCACGTTAACGATCGAGGAAACGCGGTACTGCGAGTGTCGCAGCGCCGTGTGGACTCTGCTGCAGTCAGTGATCGTAAAGAGTAGTACCGAGAGCGAAGGGGTGAAAAGAAAAGGGATGATCGTAGGTGCGCGCGTGAGACGAGATTCTTACGGCTCCTCATGAAGAGTCCGCTTCCCGGTGAAGGAACTGAGAGAACGGTGTGCCGATCGGTGCGCTGGCTCGTCGAAGAACTTCAGGTATGTTTGAAGAGCGTCGTATCTAGATAACGACAAACGTGTTGATCCTTTTCAATGTCCGTTTTCTCGCCTTGTTTTCTCTTCCTCGAGAGATCGTTTTCGTCGATGGATACGGTACACTGCTGTTGTACAACGTAACGTGATGCTGAAATAAAGAAAGAAAGCAGAAGAAGAAGAAGAAGAAAAAAAGAAAAAGATTAGAATGAAATCCTCTGCCGCGTACTAGTACATACATCCTTCTGGCATTCGTTTCTTTCTTCCTTTTTTCCTCCGGTTTATTTTCTTGCCGAGTTTTTAGTTGCCGCAAACCGCTTCGCCGAATGCCGACTGAATAAATACGGCTTCCCGTGTAAACGTTTCAAGGGAGGGTTTAGCGTTGTACAGGTGTTTAAGTGAAAGCTTTCGGGTTTCTCTTGTTTGATCCTCCTCGCGAAAATCTTCCCTCCGAAGTGACTTATGCTTCGTTTCCTTGTATTCTTCCGCTCTCGACGTGCTCGAGAATTGTTTTTAACAAAGAGGTTTTTAAATAAACGAAACGATCGGTGGAATTTGTTTTCTGTTTTTCTTGTCTCTTCTTTTTCTTTCTTTCAGTATTACACGAGTGAAAAATTCTCTGAAATTTCACTAGAGACGAGTATCTGTTACCGTCAATGTAATATGCCGATAATTTCAGCGTGATACGCGAGCCTTGTGATACACTGCAAATGACGTTTCGTCGAAGTATTTTAATTGGTATTACCGGGATCTTATGACTTTTAAGAATTCGACAAATTTTCCAAGTAACTTCGAGTCTCATTGTCACTCGCAGATAATTCCTTCTTTCGTCCTACGCATTTCAAAGTAGGAAGTAACTTCCTCAGTTCAAAATTCCATGCAAATTACAATCTTTTTCTTCTGCACGAAAATTTCGAAATTTCATTCCGTTCCGTAATTCTCGAACAAATACAAAACCGATTGAAGATTGCAACAGACAGTGTTGATATTTCGATGAATCGGAAAAGTCAATTTATGAACAAGCAAACTTTTTAATATTCGGAAAAATATTCGAGGATTATCGGTAATCCAGTCAGTAAGCTAAACACGCATCGTTGCAACGCGTTATACGGTCGTGTCGAAAATTAAAGCATGCAAAAAAGAAAGAAAGTAAACAAATAAAAAATAAAATAAATAAATCGCAAATCGATCACCGAGCAAACGGAATAATAAAATCACTTGTTGTTACGTTCTGATTTTGAATTCTCGGAAATGAAGATATACTAATGATGAGAAAATTCGAGAAATGAATTATGAAATCGAGAGTGTTGTTTTTATTCGGCTTATTTTTATCGTATGGTTGAACAGCACCTAGTCAACTCGTATTATTTTACACGATAAAGCAGTTGATACTGGAAATAATTTTACTGCCTGATCGATTGTACAAACTATAATCCATTATTGTATCACATTAAAGGACGAGGGAAACTAGATAGTCGAATGTACTTTATACATTTGCCCATAAAACATGTGTTTATTGTTTATGTTACGAGAAATCGAACGTAATGTAAGAATTTTATTATACAGTCTACTACATGGATTGTTTCCTGCCTAATTAATGTAACTGTATCAGTTGATTAAAGAGTTTACACACGAATAGATACATTTAAATTTACGCAGCTATATAGAAATATCCATCTCTTTAATTGGAAGAAAGATAAAATTTCTAAAATTCCGCATAAAGAAACAATTTTCACGTTAGTTTCAAGATTAACTCGTTCTAAAGTGTCTCGATTCAACAGTGTTTTTTTTTTTTTTTTATAACAATTTTACTTCCTTACTTAGACAAACTTACTGACAATATACAAGCTCACGATAATTCGATACAAAATGAAAATTTATTCTCAAGTTGAAATCTATTCGATTATGAGTACGAAATAAATTTGATGTTTATTTAATTTTCTCAATTACCAATAATTGACGAGTATTGCAAATTTAACTTGTGACTTGCTGTTTCGACGTGTGAAATTCTTGAAAATCGTTCATTTCCGGGCTGTGTACAGTAACAAATTAGTATCGACAAGTCGACAAGACCTTGTACGATATATATCTCTGTTTGTGTTATATTGATTCGTTTATAAAATGCAAAATTCGAAGGTAATATATCCGCGTATACGCGTCGCTCGCGATTATCCCTTTGAAACTGAACAATCCCCCATTTTACATTATTGCAATACCTTTTTTACAATACCTTTTATTTTTATTCGAAACTTTGTATTAAACTTCACCGTGCACGTGAAGTAGCCTGCATTGTAGAATTTTCAATGTACGTATTTCCTGTTGAATTTCCAACCTGTGACAATCCTACAATTGCAGCTAATTGTCATTGCGCTGGACAAGAAAGCTCTTTTTCATCTACAGCTTTACAAGGTGCGGGCAAACACTGTGATGCAATTTATGCGTTGCAATTGAACGAATCTTCCGTTCAATTAAATATTAAATAAAGGGGCTGAAAATGGAAAATATTATACGTACGTATTTATAAATGAAAGAAGGATGCGCACGCTATAGATACATTTATAAAACATTTTGAAATTTCTTAAATAACGATAGTACGTGTGTACATACTACGTTACGGACGTCTTTGTTTCTAATTTAGATATCAACAGCACAAATTGTTGCAACATGTACTGAAGGCGCAACACTTTGAGAAAAGTCAGAGAAAATAACGAAAAAAAGGCAACGGGGTACTTCATTTCTGTCTGTGTCTGCAGATTGCACGCCTAACGCAATATTAGTTTGAAACATTTACATGAGTAAATTGCTTATGCATGTGCTTGTACATGGTAGCGTGTCGCACATACACGCGCATACATATGTACAAATGGCAACCAGAAAGTCCCTGCTGTTAGCCTAGGAAAATCGCAAACCGCGACTCTCGTTATTCCATTTGCCGGAAAGTTATTTGCACGGTCGAAATTAGAACGGTAGCCGGAAATAAAATACACTTCTCTTTTTGTCGCCGATTACCACCACCGAATGACAATCGTTGGAACAGGGGCGTATCCTCTGCACGCGCGCGCGGGAAATACCACGTGGAAATACATTTGGAAACGAGAACGCTGAGAAAATAATGCAGAATCAAACGAGCTCTGGAAATCCTCTGTTGTCGTTATTGTGTGTGAAAATTAGAAATAATTTAAATCTTGTTGAATCTGCATCGCGTAAGATTTCGAAACCCTTCGATCGATCTCGCACAGTTTGTTCGGCAAAAAGGTGTAAAGAAAAAAGGGGGCGAGTGTTGCGAAAATTGAAGGAATTCTCTCAGGTTCGTCAAGAAATTCTTGGCATTTTTATTAGCGGGGGTGGAACTCCGAGGCAAAGTGAATTATCCGATCTCTCTGAATTCAAAGGCGGATTCGTGCATATCGAATTCTCCTCCTTGGAACTTCTCGCGTGCCTCTGTCCTTTCGTGTAATCAACACGGTATTATTTATCGGCGCGGAATCAGCATGTGGCTTGCTTTGAGAAATTTCCACGGATTGCACACTGTTCAAGTGGGTGGATGTTGGTTACAGCCCACAGGGCGTGACTTCAGTAAATTTTCAAATTTCTCGCGATCCGGAGACTTGGCTCACTAAAATTTAAATTCGGAACGAATTTTTCATACTGCGTGAAAATCAGACGAGCTTACCCGGCGAACAATCGAATTTAAAGCGCTGATTATTCAATGCAACGGCAATAAACGATATTTGTACAGAAGGAATTATAAAATGATTTTGTTTAAATTGTTATATTGTTTGATGTCAATGATTCTTTTCGACGTTTTGTAATTAACGTTGGAATCGTGACGCTTATAATTACGTTGTGTAAAATGTCGTGCTGCATAATATTAATATGTATGTCGTACTGTATAATATTGATACGTATGTCCAATTAATTTCCATTTCCAAACAAACCTGTCTTTCTCTATACCTTGTAGTTGGCTCGATTGATAATTGAATGGATTGATAACCGATAGAAACTCGCTGGAAAGGTGCGATTTTCGTGATGTGCATACGTCGAAGCACAGCTGTTTGGCAGTTTTTATCTCTTTGCAGTTACTGCAACGTTTTCAACTATTAATTACGTTAAAAGAAGCTCAGGTTTTGGGCAAATGACTCTCCATTGAATGTAATTTTCAAAGAAAGGCTGGCAGTTTCACAAAAAGCAGATCCAAATTAACTGCGTATTACATATAGTGTCAATACTGCTTTAAAATTCGAAGCCTTTGAAACACAAAAGTTTCTCTCTTTGAAATGCAAAATTTACAGCACACGTATAAATAGCTTTCTCTTCTTTTCTAAATAATTGAACCGCAGGCTGAGCAGGTCAACACCAAGATCTTTTCTCATTTATATTTAGCGTGCATCATATTTTGTATAATCTTTCATGCTGAATCCTGCACTGTAAAATGCTGTTTCTTCACTTTTTCGTTGTTGAGCATCGAGATCTCATTGTTGAGCGTCATTAAAGACAAAAATCCTCGTATTTTCTGAATCAACGCCTCTCGTTTGAAACACTGGTCGATGTTTTATCCCGGTGTCTATTCGGTGATATATCCGTTAATGGATTTTCGATACGTGACGTCGCAGTGCGGATCATTCGTATTTCACAGCTTTACTTTCCGATTTCGCCCGAGTAGCAAAAATGCGGAGAGTTTCGCACGCCCTTCGACTGCATACAAATCGACCGGCTTAAACAAACCGTCTGATTTCCTCGGAAGAGCGGCGAAATGTGATCTGTGAAATGTATAGACGTCGCTGCATGTTTTTTCAATTTCCTTATCCCAAGCAGATAGAATATTCCCGCTTTCAGTTGCTCACAGACACAACAATTATATCGTTGTGCATACGGTGGGTATAAATCAGGCAATTCAATCAGTTCGTTTCTTTTTTTTTTTTTTTCCTATTCTTTTCATTTAAAATTTGCTGTTCGCACGCACCTCGCGAGAAATATTATCACACTGTAACAGCCATCTGAAAACT